TGTGGAAAATATCAATTAGTAATTACAGACTTATATAACGAAATAACTAAACAGAAAGAACGTACATATATGTCACTAGGAAGTACTATAGAGGATGATAAACATAGAAAGAAAAGAGGATTAATAAACATAATAGGTAACACCATGCATACATTATTTGACGTATGTGATGACAAATGCACTAAGAAAACACAAGAAGCTATACAAAAAACGGAAGAATCAGGAACTAACATATTACACATAATGGAAACCCAAACCACTGTAGTAAAATCAACAATAAGAAGTATTGGTAATACAATAAATCAAACTGAACAATTATACAATAATATTACGGAAAAGGAACAAAAACTAAACGAAAAAATGTCAAAAATACAAAACAAAACAAATTATATATTAGATTTACTAATGAAAAATGAAATACATAATTTATATACAATAATTATTAATCAATATTCTTACGAAACAGAAACATTGGGACAAATAGTAACTGCCGCTAGAGAAGGTATGATACATCCAAGTCTTATGACACCGCAAGAACTAGCATCAACATTAAAAGCAATAGAACAAAATATAAAGAAAATATACAGTATTCCGATGGGAACAAAAAGATATGAAATAAATGAATTTCAAAAAATTACAAAAATAAGAATCTACTATTCGAACGACAGATTGGTATTCGATATAGTAATACCACTGATTATTGACACTGAACTTACATTATACAGGTTAACACCAGTACCAATGCGTCATAACCAAGATAATTCTAGTGGTTGGTACGTGATGGACATTACTTACAATAATATTGCTGTAACCAAAGGCTATAAAAGGTTTACTACATACACAGATCAACAATTAAACGAATGTAAAGAAACATCAATATACAAAATATGTAATACACCACAACCTATACAGGACAACAATGAACGCCAACCATGCGAAGTACAAAACTTTATAAAAGCTGACACGTATTCTAATCCTGAGTTATGTACGGTAAAGAAAATTAATTTAAAGAGAAGCATATACCAAAAATTAAAAAGAAAGAATATATGGATTCATGCAGGAAAAGAGACATTAACAGTAAGTTGCGCCAACTTAATAGACCCATTCATAATACAAACAAATGAAGCAGGAGAAATAGCTATAAACGACATTAGTTGCCAAGTATTTGCACGGGACGCAGTATTAACTGCCACGGAAGAAATCCAAATTACAAAATATAAAGACTTTACACCTGTAACTAACATGAGTAATATTTTAGAAAAAATACCCGAACATATACACAAATTCGAAACAGATGAAAAATGGGAAAAGGGACCAGCTATGCAATTCACAGATTTACACGATGCATCCAAATCTTTAGACGAAGTACAACAAATGATTAACCAAGAACTTTTAAGAGAACAAAATCAAAAGCATCAATTTGTACACAGTAATTTGCTATATGTAACAATAGTAATGACAGTAATATCTATTATACTAATAATAGCAATTTACATAATGATAAAATGCAAGTATATCAGGTCCACAGAAGTCATGGAATTTCCCGGCAGAATAGTTAGATATAGGGCACCCAATAGAAATGACTACGTACGAAATTATGAAGAGACACCCTTTACTCCACCACCTTCACCAAGATAAATTAATTAATTAATAAAAAAAAATATATAAAATAAAATAATAACAATAAATAAAAAAATAAAATATAAGTTAAAAAAAAATATAGTAATAATATACAATAATAATAATTAAACTAGAGATAAACGATTAGTTTAATAAATAAATAAGAGCTAGGTATATGTAAACCATTAAAGAAATACTATATATATAATTATGTTTCAGGAAACAATCAAGAGGGATTTCAAAATAAATATAATAAAATATATAAACATGAGCGAACCCACACCAATGCCTGAGTCTAATGTTTTTTATAAGGAACTAAAGGATAGGTTACTTAATGATACACATGATCAATTGGTACTAAGGAACACAATATATGTACGTTGTTTTAGACAACACTTAATAGACGCAAATAATAATATGCAATTACCTTTTAACGAAACTGAACTTGAAACCGTTATGGGTCCGTTAACAGCTTTCTTTTGCAATAAATGTAACCGCGAACCAGCCTATTATTCAATGTGTTTAAAAATCGCAGAAATATTAGATCAATATTATACTCAACACCAAATTTATAATGAAGAACATATTCGATAAATAAATTAAAAGATTTCATTAATAAATAAATAATATAACAAAACAGAGAATAAAAAAAAATAATAATAAAGTATAATATTATACGTGCATAAAGAAATAATACGTAAAATAATATTCTATAATTTAAATAAAATAATATTACGTGCATAAAAAAAATAATAATATATACATATACGTAAATAATAATTTTTAACTATTTCAGAAATTAAGAAGAAAAGACATTGTAAAATTAATTGTATATTTCAAAATATATAAAAGCACACGTAAAATTTAAAGTATAAAAATGAATGAGAACGTACCACCTGTAGCACGAACAGTTCGAATGCAACTACAAACATTTGAATTTCTCAGAGAATTAAAAAACGAATTAATTGAATCAACCAATCATACACAAATAATGCGAGGGGAAATAGTCAGATTACATTGCTTCCCGGAACATATAAGAAGGGCGAATAATAATATGACCATACCTTTCAGGCCGAATGTCTTAGCACGGGTCATGATCCATGTTAATGACTTTGTACGCACGGTTATCGTAAGACCAAATCATAATCGACCCATGTGTGTAGAGTTGGGTTTACCAATAGAACAATTGATCAGGAGGCGTGTGATTGTCGAAACGATTTTCGAAGAATAACCTCAGGAAACATATATCATATACATAGCAATAAATACTAAGAAACCAATTATTTTAAAAAAAATTATTATTTTATTTTAGCTCACAGGTACGCTTTTTTATAATGGATTTCGAGTTCTTTACCGTCAGTAAGAACGAAACATTACTGGTATCCGGCGCGATATCGAATAGTTTAGAAAAGTACCAACCCAAGAAATTGGAGGGGAGTCCTCTTATACTTACAAAGGATGATAAGTTAAGAAGATTCCGCCGATGCGACCTAAAGAAAATAGTGCAGAATATCAAACGAGTATTCCGAGGGAAAAAGGCAAGAGTGATTGAACCATTGCTGGAACAGTTATACAAGAGTATATGTCGCCAGGGGGAATCAACCTTGTCTACGGTATACTTGCAAAGATATTTGCACATAAACGATAGGGAGCCGCTAATAGTATTTTGGAACGGAACGTCAGATATCATGATAATTAAGCGTTTAAGATTAACAGGCATTTTAGCATATTTAAACATATCGGCAATTAGCGTTAGGAATAATGACGAGTTTATATTAGAATTATCAAACCTAGAGACTAAGGAAGTTTTATATTCAGGTTATTTAGGTAAATTAAATAAAAATGGTAGAATGTTAGGACTATCAGAAGCTCATGAACTAGCATGCGATATTAATCATAATATTACACATTGTCATGATCCAGTTGCCGACGTAATTTTAACGAAATGCCTATTCAATTACATAGTAACAAAAATAAAGCCCATTAAATTATATAAATTAGCAAAAAAAATATAAAAGGAATTTTAAGGCAAAATAAATAATAATTATTAGTTAATAAATAAATATAACACAAAATAAATTAAATAATGGAAACAAATACATAAATTAACATTTATTATATATTTTAGATTCATTGAGGAGCTAAAAACCATTTTAAAAACAGAAGTACATATTTATAACGTTAAAGAAAATAAGTTACAATCCGTATGCTTTAATTGGCATATATTAAAGGCAAACAAGAAAATAAATAACCATTACGATCATAGAACTTTAAATAAAATAACTAGAAGCCTTGAACTTTTCATAGATGATCATTGTAATGGAGAATGCAAACAATTAGTAAAGATAATAGAAAACACTAGAGATCCAACTTACATGATGAATTACCTTGAATAGAACCATAGTTGCATATGTCTATGGCAAATCTAACAATTATTCACATAGATTAGTATATAGGTGGAAGATAAATATTATTATTATATAAAAGGGGAAATACTTAAACTTTATACTTACGTAACGCTTATGATGTTATAATTTCAGGTACATATATTATTTTATTAAAGATTATTAATCATTCTTATTAACACTATTTGTTTAATTAAATCATGTATTAATTTATTTTACTAACCACGATTAAAATTGTAATATGAAAAACAATATAATAATAATAATGACATTAAAAATTGTAAAATGTTCACATTATTGTAATCAAATGTAATACTGTAATCAAATTGTTAACTTTATACAAAATTTAAATGTCAATGTAAACAATGTAATTCAGCCATTGTAAACTATTAATTAACGATGTTAAAGATTCTTAACCCTTAAAGGTTAACAATCTTTTTTTTTTGGTAGGGAGGTGTAATGGGATTACGCAATATCATGTATTTGCTCATAATAACAACCAGGAATGGGATTACGCAATATCATATATTTGCTCATAAAAACAACCAGGAATGCGACCACACCCAAAAGTGTTTTCGACTAAGAATACCACTTTCATAGTCGTGACTGATGAGGTCCATATCAAGGACGACTGTACACGCGGCGCTCACTTCAAAGGACGCCGCCACCATATATATAGGGGACAGCGAGACAGCCTGAGTAGAATAAATTCATCAATAAATCACCAAAACATATATATCAGTCAAATATCATCAGTCAGTCAGTATACATGTCTCCAGTGATATATCAAGACGCATCAAGACGCACGAGTCAATCCAGACAACGTTCAGCTGTATGAACAACACGTTCAGACATCATTTATTCGTAAGTACCACATTTTACTACTCCCCCCCACCGACTACGAGGCAAGTGAACCCGAGGGTTCGCACCGCCGGGTCGCGTCTGTGCACTGCGCACGATCGTTCCACTGCTAAAATGAAAAAAGCAAAGAAAATCGTTCCACGCCGCGGTTCCGAGCCAAATCCTCGTCCTCCTCAAAAAGTTCCAAAAAGACCAACTTCATCTACTTCTCCACTTCAATCATCAAACAAAAAACAAAAACAACAAGATAACGAATATCTCTCTTCATCAGAAACCGAATCAATGTCGTCCATTTCAGAAGCAACCCTAAAAGACCAAATATCAAGTCAACCTACATCAGGATCACTGCCAACTACCATCTGCACTTCCTCTCCGGAAAAACCAAACTCCAGTCACTCACTATCAGACTCTCTTGTTTCCATCTCCGACGATCATGATTCAAAATCCTCACCATCAAGCACACCTGCAACTGCGGCTCCACCGCGCCTACGTGTTCCTCCAATAATCATGAAATCCACTGACTACCGGCAAATTGCACCAAAACTATTCAGTTTTAATTTATAGTATTGATCCAAACTCCATCACGGCTAAAGCTGCAGCAGAAGGAAAAATCCATATAAATACTAATACTCCACAAAACTTCCGAGCAATACAATCATTCCTACAAACTCAAGACATTCCATTCCACACCTTTGACCTACCCGCTGATCGCACCCTTAAAATTGTACTAAAAGGCATTCCCACAGATATATCTGAAGAAAAACTGAAAAACGAACTCACAAATCGAGGTTTTAACATCAAAATGGTCAAACGCTTCGGATCAGCCACGAAACCAATGTCAATATGCATGGTAATACTAACCAAAGACATCAAATCAACTGATATCTTCGATCTCTCAAACATATTTTACATAAGCATTACAGTTGAATCCTTCAAGAAATCCGGACCCGCACAATGTTTCGCATGCCAACGCTTTGGCCACGGATCACAAAACTGTGGTCATCCTGCACGCTGCGTCAAATGCTCCGGAAAACACATGGCCAAAGACTGCGAGAAACCCAAGACCAAAGACCCAACCTGTTGCAACTGTGGTGGCAACCACACGGCAAACTACCGCGGCTGCCCCTACTATCTCCACATAGCAAACATCTCGAAAAACTCAACAAAAGTCACATCAGCATCCTCCAACAAAGCTCCACCATCAATTTCGACTCAACCACAAATATCATTATCACTAACTACTACAAGCTTCGCTCAAATCACAAAAGGACAATCTCCAACACTCCCACCTGCCACCGAACAAAGCAAGTTCAACACATCTGACATTATTCAAATACTAACAAATCTCCTAGCAGCATTGGCCTCTGAAAATGACCCAAAAATAATTATAACAAAAACTCTAAACTCCTTCATTTCCCTTCTGTCTAACAAACATGGATAGTAAAAACTTAAAAATTGCATACTACCAATGGCATAACAAAGAAAATCCACGAACTACAGGCATTTATTCTTCAACACAAAATTGACATTATACTACTAAGCGAAACTCATTTATCTCCAGCAAAAAAACTAAAAATCACAAATTTCCACACTTACAGAAACGACCTGCCGCCCAGGCGTGGATCACCCGCTCACGGCGGAACTGCTATTTTAATCCACCGCCGTATAACCCATCAAAAAGAAAACATCAATACAACTCTACAATCAACAAGCGTAAGAATAAAAATGGAGAACAGAGAAACAATAATAACTGCAGTCTACAAACCCCCAAGCACTGCATTAGAGCCAAACGATCTGGACCTATTAACAAATCATAACGACTGGTTAATCGCGGCCGGCGACTTTAACTCAAAACACCCCATGTGGCATAGCCACTCAACAAACAGGGCAGGCCGTACACTCTTCGAACACGCGCACCTAAACAACTACTCGATAGTAGCCCCAGACACACCCACATATTTCCCGTCAAACACGAGATACCGACCAGACGTGCTAGACATCGCCATAGTGAGAACCCCACTTCAAATTCGAATCACAAACCTTGACGAATTATCATCTGATCACAATCCGATAATAATGGAATTATCCAGCTCGGCAATAACCACACCACCACCAAACGCTGGCCGTTACATCAACTGGAGAAAATTCACAAAAGATCTAAGTCAAGATCTTTCAGACACTTCCCTAAATCTAAATACCACAACTGAAATTGAGGAAGCCATCAGCAAACTCACAAACACAATAAATAATACAATCAAAAAATGCGAATTTAAACCACCAAGACACAAATCTCCAAACCAACTACCTGAAGAAATCCTCAAAGAGATAAGAGAGAAAAACCAAATAAGAAGGCTATGGCAACAAACCCGAGACCCTCAAATTAAAAGACTTCTAAACTCAAAAGTCAAATTCATAAGAAACATTCTGGTAACTCAAAAAACCGACCAATGGGACACATTCGTGGACTCACTGAACACAAAAGATGGTTCCATTTACAAACTAAATAAGCGCCTACTAAACAAACAACCAGCAACACACCCACTCATCGGTCCTCGCGGACTTGTCTACTCAGCCAACGAGAAATCGGAACTAATAGCTGACTCGCTCGAAAAGCAATTTACGCTAAATACAGGACCTGAAATCGAAGAAATAACTAAAGTAGCAAACGAAATTCTAAACACAACCATTACGTGTTCAAACCTCTTCACATCACCTGGAACAGTACAAAAAATAATCAATAGGCTCCCAAGGAAAAAAGCGCCGGGTGAGGACCAAATTAACAACACTGCACTCAGATTTCTCCCATTAAACAAAATTTTAACACTTACGCGAATAATTAACAGTTGTCTAAGGATAAGCTATTTTCCAACAAAATGGAAAAATGCTATCATCATCTCGATCCCCAAACCCGGAAAAGACCATAAAAAGCCAGAGAACTATAGACCGATCGCACTCCTATCATCAATATCCAAAGTATTCGAAAAAGTAATCCTAGAAAAACTCCGTAGTGAATGTGCCGGGAAAATTAGAAATGAACAATTTGCCTTCCGCCAGGGACACTCGACTACAAATCAACTCATCAAACTGATGGACGACCTCAGTACAAATACAAACAAGAAAGAACAAACAGCAGCAATCTTCCTAGATGTGGAAAAGGCATTTGATCGCATATGGCACGCAGGGTTGATATTCAAATTGTCGAGATTGCAAATACCGATAGGACTTATAAAGTTAATCGAATCGTTCCTAACAAAAAGAACTTTCTCAGCAAAAATCGAGGACAAAACATCAACCACCAGGAAGATTGAAGCCGGAGTACCACAGGGCTCCTGCTTGTCGCCAACCCTTTTCATTATATACACAAACGACATAAACCTCACAGACAAAGGACAAGTTTCTCTCTTCGCCGATGACACAATGTTTCATACAAAAAACAAAAACGCAAAACGTGCAGCCATCCAGCTACAGAAACAAACGGATTTAGCTACAGAGTGGTTCAGCAAATGGCGTTTAAAAATAAATCCTCTGAAAACTACTGCGATTATCTTTGGCCGAACCAAACTATCAAGGATACCGAAAATAAACATCGATGGGATAACAATTGGATGGTCAAGCAAAACGAAATACTTAGGCATCACCATCAGCCGCGGACCAAGAGGACCTAGTATGCGGGACCACATCTCCAACATAAAACAGCGTGCCACGCAAACAAGAGGTATGCTATATCCAGTAATCAACAAAAGTAGCCATATACCATTAAATACCCGCCTAACAATTTTAAAAATGTATATTATACCCATTATCACTTACGCCGGCGCAGCTTGGGCTCCTTTCGTCAACAGATCCCAATGGAGACAACTCGAGGCAATCCAGACAGTAGCCATACGGATGGTAACGGGCATGCCACAATACCTTAGAAACAACGTTCTACTCAAACAAACCAATTCAATCACAATCGAACAAACCATCAAACAACAATCAAGAACAAATTTTTACACCAATCAACAATCCATATTCAAACACATTCGAACCTTAGGCCGTTCTAAAACAGACCAGATATCAAAAGCCCCCAGACCCTTCTCATGGTCATATGAAGATCAACCCATATTAATTAACTAACTCCTTCAAAAACTTCCCTCTACTAGAATAGGCCCCGAGCCTGGTATAGTTAATAGGCCAAAGGCCGTCACAACAAAGCAAAGCAAAAAAAAAAAGCCTGAGTAGATGTATCCAGAGACGAGAACACCACACGACTCGCTTAGCCGCCCAGCCATCACACACAACTTATACGGACATTATCAATTTCGGAACGAGCTACAATTCGCTACAATCAACACTATTATTCTGCTTATTTTGTCTGGTTTAATATAATACATTTGATTACCATACTAATTGACTATTATTATTTATCAAAGTACACCAGCTTTTGGATCCCTGAAGGGCCGCATGTAACAATTGTATAGGTGGGTGCACACACCTATGCAATCTACTGAAAAACTGTCGTTGACCTGTTGGATAAAGCGCTTGGGTAACTTCACCTCCCACGATAGCTTTGCAGATATCTGTAAAAGAGTTCCGGCCTCCTTTTTTCCTAACGGGTATCTGCAAAGCTGGGAATGATTTTGTAGATGTTTTGCATTTTTTCCCATATTTCTATTAAAAATATTAAAAAATAACGCGATCGTATATGTCCTATATTTCATTTAATATTTGATATTATCAAGTCGGATCAACACAGATATGTTTTATATGCTTATCTACACTACATATTAAAAGTTTACCCCCCCCGCTTCATATTTTTCATTTAAGTATAACCCCGTTGCTTTTTATGTTAGAATCTTCATTTTTACATTAAACATTTTTGATTTTAATTTTTTATAAGTCCCCCTCCAAGTATCATAGTGTAAAATCGTTTTTAAAGATTTTTGGATTTTAATAACGCGTCCCCTATTCGGGTGAGCGTTAAATATTGAACATTTTTTTAATAGAACAATTCTATTAAAAAATTTAATTATATTATGATCTTATGATCGGCATCTGTAACTCCCATTCTAAGACAACATATTTTAATATTTCCTAAATCTTGAACAACACAAATATCATGGAGATATTTAAAAAAATAAGTACCAGTTATATTTATTAAATCATTAGCTATTTTACAAATTTCAAGCCATGTTGGCGATTCTAATATTTTAGAAGCATAAGGCTTTCCATTTCCAGAAATAATGTTTCCATGATCAACAATTAAAATATTTCCTTTAATTGGAATTTTATGTAAATTATAGTTCATAATTTTAATATTTTTTTTATTATTAGTATGAAAGTATTCATATTTACAGAACTTAACAAAGATTTCATTATTTAATATTGATTTTTCTATTTCGTTTTGCATTTCATTTTCTTGTACCTTATTAAAATTGTATTTATCTTATCGAAATTGTATTTCGATTTTTATTTTTAATAATTAAAGTTTGCGGAAAATATTTTTATTATTATTGCATTTCATAAGGTTTGTGAAAAATGTTTTTAATTATTATTGCATTTCCATTTTCTGATCTTTTTGC